ACCTTTCATATACAGGCTCATTAATTCCTTCATCAGATAAAAGGTTAAAGAAGGATATAAAAGAGGTAAATAGTAAAAAAGCAGTAGAACTAGTAAAATACATTAAACCTAAAACATATCATTTTATTGATGACAGACAACAAGGTAAATCATGCTGTGGCTTTATCGCTAATGATTTTTTGGAAACAAAAAAGATGCCAGATGAATGGCAAAATTTAGTAAAAGAAGGAAGAGATGGCTATTTAAAATTTGATTATACAATTACTACACCTATTTTATGGAGTGCTTTACAATATTCATTAAACAAAATTGATAAGTTGGAAAAAGAGGTTAAAGCATTAAAGGGCAAAGGAAAGGGGAAAAGCAATAGTGAACAATAATATCATTTATTTATAATATTATTAATCAATAATCAATTTAGCATCAAATCTTTTATAAAACATATCATTAACATCTGCTTTCATTAGATTAATGAATAAAAAGCTGTAAGGTTCTTCGGTTGCTATGTTATACACCTCTAATAATAATTTCTTTGCCTCCGCTAAATTTTTAGTATCTGCTACACTTGATTTTTTAATTAACACCGCGCTCAATTCTTCAACCATTGTCTCTATCTCTTTGTAGTTTCTTAACCTGAAGAAGAACAACTGACGACTATTGACACGAATTATTGGAGACAACGCGTTAAACTTTTGTGTGGAGGTAATAATATTTATTGCATTATGTCTACCTCTAACATACAACTGATTTAATAAGGGTGAGTTTCTTGAAAAAGCCTTACTGTCAGCAAAGTCGTCTACTATTATAAGAATAGAGAATATTTTTTTATGGTCGTTCTTCTTCTGATATTCTATTATTTTATGTTGTCGTTTTATAACTGTTTCTAATTCTTCTGGTATGTATTCATCAAACAGACATTTCTCCTTTTCTAAATCAACCTTTAAGTTATATTGAATGTATTTCTTTACTGGTAACCAATTACTATCAACTGAAATTGAGGGGGACCATACATATATTCTCTCAAAGACATCCCTGTAAATATCTAATATCATTGACTGTAATAGAATTCCTTTTCCACTCCCTGAAGGTCCTGTTATGATTTGACTAAAAGGTAATCTAGGTGCTATATCATATTTAGATTGTTTGAATTCATATTCTTTAACATTAATTGGCTTAACTATAGGAATATTATTATTATTATTTCTCATTAATTTAATATAGAAATTATTTTCTACAGTATTATTACAGAGCCCCCATCGTTGCAAGTAAAAAGAACCCTGAATATTCTAAAACATCACTACATCATAAGCATGTAGTTAATTTGTTTGGTGTCAATGCTTTTCACAATTAATAAAATTATGAAAAATATTGTGAGATATTATTATATGACAATATATGTCGATAAAATTATCATGGATTTTGATAATGAAAATTGCCAATCTCATTTTGAAAGACAATGTGTCAGATGTAAAGAATTTAAAAATTTAGTGCATTTCAAAAGATATTATCATTGTAAAACAGGTAGGTATTTAATGCAGTATAGATACACAGTTACTTGTTGTGAATGTCTTGATGGAATGAAAAAGTATAATGACAGAAGGAAATGTGAGTTAAAAACATAAGTATAACGTAAGCACATTCCATAAGAGTTTATGGAATATAATTCTATTATGATTACAACCTTTATAACCAAACCTAGTAAAATCTATGAGAGAACCCTTGCCCATTTCGGGATGATAATACCACCTTAGGGAATATGGATAGGGTAATTGGTTATTCCTATACTGGTCTTGGTAATGGGGGAGTAGTGGTGATACTTGGGGGATTGTAGTAGGGAGTATAGGAATATTCCTCTTATATGGATGAGGTAATCGGTTATTCCTATACTGGTCTTGGTAATGGGGGAGTAGTAGTGATATAGTTGGTGAGGTGTAGGGGGGAGTGTAGGAATAATCGTCTAATGGGTTGACTGGTGGTATTATTACCCGAAATGGGCAAGGGTTCTGCTAACTAATACTAAGTCTTCCGCGCTGCCTTAGCAGAGCAAGATCTCGCCACAAAGGCTGGGACAACGGAAGGTCCATCTCCTACAATCCACCCTGTCACTTGCTGTGGTGATGTCCGAGGCCATTTCTGCAAAGATCTGTTATAAAAACGGGCGCTGCGGAAAGAGGACACCAACTTCGCAGGAGCCCCGCCTCAGATTCCCTCGGATCAATTTATAAGGAAACTGGCAGGTTAGGAGATATCAGAAGTTCTATTTCAATGCCAAGCCTTTGGGAGCATTGAGCTAGCCAGCCGCCGTTGGGCCGGTGGATGGCCGCAGCACTGCAGGACAGGCGTTGCATGAAGTTGGTTTTGCATCTGAAGCAAGTGCTCCGTGTAGGCGTAGATGCTGTAAGCTGTAGCATGCCATTCACGCCAAGCTTAACCACGCGTTTGAGCGAATGCCTGTATCCTAGCTCCAGGCCATCCTCGGCAATCACCAAACGAGAGTCGTTCCGAGCAGCAGCGTCAGCAGTAAGCCAGTAAGCCTGTATAATGTGTCATGGCGCCTTGGACCTGGGAGTCATCAGGACCTGGCTGTTGCAGTTGCTTGCCCCAGACTTATTCAAGCAACTTGGGTGCATGACCGAATGTTGCGCGTCAGCCTAGCTGAGTAGATGCGGGTTTGAAAGGGCGCCGGCTCGCGGTTGCAGCGACAACAGGGAGGTATGGAAAGACAATACAGGAGCTTTTCTGGCTGCTGAGCTTATAAGCTCCAGTTTAGGAGTAGTTTAGGCGTCGGGTTGAACAGGTCTTGCCCGGCCCCATTGCGGGAACTCGCTTCCTCCACGCAGGCGGGAATCCTTCGAGATGTTTGAAGGGATGGGTTTGCTTGTTGCTGGCATGCTGAACCAGAACTACATTCATGGGATGCACAAGTCTCGCGCACACAGCCTTCGGTGCAGCGAACTCATCGAAACCTGAATGGTTTCTATAAGGTGAATAGGTTAGTCGTGGCCTAGCTCCAGCAGGCCAGGGCTCCAAGACTTAGTTGCTTGTAGTTGTGGCCTGGCGTGGACTCAATGTCTTCATCAAGTAGGCCTAGGAGGCAAGTAGGCCTGCAAAGCATTTGTCAGGCGTAGCGTCGAAGTCGGGTCGTGCGCTCGCGAGGCCGTGGCCACTTGATTGGAGCTTGAGTGGCAAGGGGTCCTGGCTCTACGTTCGTTTGGGTTCGGACTGCACTATAAGGCTTACCAGGATTACTTGGCCTGCGGGCTGAAGCTTGCACCCTCACCATTCCTGAACATCATCCGCCTCACCCCTCGGCACAACAAAGGCCCCGAACACGAAACCTCAAGCCCTCTCCAGCCCCGAATACGGCAGGTATATAGTGTTATAGAGCTGTTTCAATCCATCGAAACCATTGTGGAAAGACTGTTCCAGGGCACAGCATTGGGCCGTCGTCTGCCTCCTCGCACGTGCCTTTCTCCGCAGGCCAGCCCGTGAAGCCTTGATTTCATGCTTCGTGCTTTGCACGAAACTTCTCGGGTGTTCTAGGGTTATATAACTCGACAATTGTGTGTGGGCTGCGAGTGTTTGCTCTCGCCTGTCTACAGTTTTCAGATGTCATTTGTTGTTCTGGCGACTACCAGCGGTTTCGGGGATGCCCTCTAGCCAAATCTCTTGTTTCTACACAGCCTTCTTATTGCTCCGCCATCATCCGCACATATGAAGCTCCGGCACACTCGAATCGAGGCCATCTCGACAACGGACAACGGTCAGAATGTCATCGGCAGGAGTGCAACGGGGCGGCCCCCCAAACGTCGTGCTGTGCTCTGTGTCAGGAATGCTTACAGTACCAGCTGTACAAGGTAGGCGGTATACTCGGTTCGAGACATTGCTGGGGGGGGGCGGGGGGGGGGGGGGGGATGACGTCCATGCAACTGCGACTTGTCTTTGCTGTTTCTATTGTTCACCTTCTTCTGCTCTGTTCCGGTTCGAGACATTGCTGGGGAAGGGGAGTCGAGGGGGGGGTGATGACGTCCATGCGACTGCGACTTCTCTATGCATGATTTAGTTGCTCTGTCCATTCGTGCTTGCCGTTTCTTGTTGCTTCACTTTGGAAGCGTCCACCATGGAAAAAACCTAGCGTTTTTTACTTCCAAAATGAGATTGAAAACCAACATAAACCAAGCACCAGCATTTGCGACACTTCCGCACAAAAACAGGCCAACAACACAAGACAAATGACTATAGAAATTTGAAACTCCGATACATCGTCTTGTTGACGAATACCAAACGAAACTCTGGGTTTTCTACTTTTTGACCAAAAATCACCCCAAACATAAACGACACACCCCGCGCGGCGGCAGACGCACCGCCTTCCTTGTCCTTGTTGTTGTTGCTGCTCCTGCTGCTGCTGTTGTTGGTGGTGGTGGTGTTGGTGTTGGTGTTGGTGTTGTTGTTGGTGTTGTTGTTGGTGGTGGTGCTGTTGCTGTTGCTGTTGCTGCTGCTGCTGCTGCTGCTGCTGCTGCTGCTGCTGCTGCTATTATTGCTAGTGATATTGCCGTTGTTACTGTCATTGCCACGGTTACTCGTTTTAGTGCTTTCGTTATTGTGAATTTGCTATTATTTACTACAATCATTAATACTATTTAATATTCCTATTGCTTACTACCTTTATTGCATGTGCGTACAAGTGGTGGTGGTTGTGTTGCTGCTGCTGCTGCTGCTGCTGCTGCTGCTGCTGCTGCTTCTGCTGGTGCCGGTGCCGATGCTAGATGCTAGATGCTAGTGCCGGTGCTTGTGTTGGTGGTGTTGGTGTTGGTGTTGTTGCGGTTGTTCCTGTTGCTGCTGCTGTCGTTGTTGTGCTTGTGGTTGTGGTTGTGGTTGCTGCTGTACAACAACAGGGGGTTTGCGCAGTAGGCAGGAGGCGAGTCTCAAAGATTCACTGTCGCCCCCGAACCGCAGCTGTGTTCAAGTCAAGCGGGGCCTCCCATGGCCGGCACTTCGCCATGGAGCGCCGGTGGTGCCATGGCTTTCCGGTGTGTTCGATTTCCGATGATGCTGTGGATTTACGAGTAGGGGCCGGCCAAAAGGTGTCCGAGTCGGAGCATCCTAGCAACATCCAATCTGTGCATCGAGCTGTGACTTTGTCTATGCGGCCGTTGCTACCGACTCATTTCTGTAGTGCTTCCAGCCAGAGAACCTTGCCGATCTGAGTGCAGCCAGTTTTCCCGTTATCGTCGTTATGACCGCGCCTACTCATTCTTTGCTCGCTGGCGCGCTGGTCGTTTTGAGCGCAAAAAAGGGAATGTGCAGTCCTGTCTTCTATTCTTCCCTCCTAAGGAGCCGGGATTGCACGCCTGGGCACCTGATAGCCGCTTGCCAGCACAGACCTAGTGAATCGTACACGCTTCGCGCCATCCACCTCGGCCCAATTCGAGGAAGCAGAGACCAACCCAGGAGCGGCGGCAGTCGGGCGCCAAAAGACCTTCCCAAATTCAGCGGAAGACCACAAAAAATCACGACTGTGGGGCGGAGGTCGAGTTGAGTGTTGAGGGTGGGGAAGAGGGGCTTGTGACTCGGTGCTCGTTGGATTCCGGCAACCTGCGCATCTCCGGTTGGTTGTGAGCTCGCACCATCTTGAACAGTCTTGCTTCTGCATCCCACATAAGATCAGAGTTGGCATCGTGATCCTAGTAGTCCTGAGGTTCTCTAAGTTTGATGCTTTTCAGGCAGCTGCCGATAAAAGAGAGACAGGAGAGATAAAGAGAGAGAGAGAGAGAGAGACAGAGCCGGACCCCTGTGAAGCGAAGCGAAGCGAAGCGAAGACAGAGCCGGAAGGGGCCGCTCAGACTTGGCAGACGCGAACCATTGTGCGGGTAGGCCTTCGGGCCAGAGGGTTTCGGCCCTCATACCCGTCAGCAAGCAAGCAAGAGAGAGGTGCTATGCCTCATAACGCATCTTTGGTGAGACTAGCATACAAGTCTTGTGCGCAAGGAATGCCTCCACGACATCGCCACGCGCCTTGCGCTGGAACACGAACGGCAGGTGCCGGCAATGGGATGTAGAGCCCACTGCCCAGCAGAAGACCAAAGCTTCAGATTCCAAATAGGAAGCTTTCTGTCCCTCCCGATTGCGAGCTGCGGACTCCCAGCTGTCACACGGTGTTCCACTTTGCTTACTTCGGAGTTGTGTCGAGCCCTTCGATCTGTACCTCAACGAAGGCCCGCTTTGCAGGGTCACACCTCCCTTTTTGCAAGGCGGCAGCGCTGCGGACCCTGCAAGAAGAGAACGAAAAGCAGCTTGCCCGGCATTGAGGAAATCGCTTCATGCTTCCCTGAACGTCCTATAGGGCTCTAGACATATGTCACATGTCCTTGCTAGAAACGACACGTAGGAGCGTTTGTCTCAGAGCACGTACCCTCTCTAAATCTATCTAGGCAATAAGTCCGCCATCAAGCCAGGCATGCACCAGGTAAATTTGAACTCCTGGGGTCAACCAGTCTCTCTCACCCGACAGGCCCGTGCCCAATTACCAACATAGGTCGTGTTTCGGTACAGTGAGAGAAGCTCGAAAGGAAGCATGGTAGGTTTGTTGTTGAGGGTGATCCCTATTGGTGCTCAGGCTCAAGGAAGCCGGTGTGGCTTCAAACGATCTTTCGTGCCTTGACTTCAGTGCGTATGAGGTGTGACACTGTGTTTGCGTGGCTGGGCTGCTAACGGTATGTTTGGGGAATGGCTAGCGGGCGAAGACCAGTTGTACAGGGGCAGACCTCGGACCTCAGGCGTAGCGCATGCGCGGATGGGCAACCCCCAACAGAGAGAGGGAGTCTCTGCGTCGGGCCCGCGGGGTGAAGGGGTGGGGGGGGGTTGAGCCTTAAAGAAGAAAGAGGGCACCCAAATTCCTGATGCTTTGATTCCAAACTGGCATTGCATGACAGACTGACAGATCGCGCCAGAGAGACAGCGAGAAAGGATGAGAGAGCGGGAAAACCCCGTCTCCAGACCTTCGGACAGCAAGAAAGAGCGACAGAGGGATAGCAAGAGAGCGAGAAACCGTGCTGCAGTATGTAATTAAGCATGGATGGATGGGAGGATGGAGGGATGCAGGATGTAGCAGGGACATGTGTATGCTGCTTATGCAGGCATGTGTGCATGCGTGACAACTGTTCCGGTATTTGTACCCAGACCATACATGCACGCACTTTGTGTTGCGCTTTTGCCAATGGACTTGGTGGTGGTTGTCCGCTGCACCCGGTTGCGTGCAGGTGGGTAACACTTCTCTTAACCATCAGCTTGTAGGATATGAAACCTCTAGAACCTAGAATATGCTGCTAACACTTATACGATTGGTAGTCCATCTGCAGCTGGCTCAGGCACACGTTGCGAACCTTGGAAGGGAGCTCTCCTGTCCTACGAGGCCTGGCGCCAAGACCGTAGTATATGCACAGTCTCAGTTCGACCCCCTAACCTGTCTACGGGTACTAAGAGCGCCTATGACAAGATCACTAACAAAGAACAACCATTGCTGTCATTAGAGACTTTGCGTGCTTCGGAAGCATCCATGTAGTGACCGGCGCCCGGAACGAAGGCGCGGACTCGCCAAAACTGAACCGGGCTGCCACAATGACCTCCGCGCTTTCGAGCACCTGGTCCTCCGCGCTGCGGACAGCGGGAATAGCGACGACAGAGGCGAGGGCCCCAATATGCTGACTTATAAGGAACAAACTTGAGCATCAGCAATGCAAGCGCCTGGCGTTTTTTTGTCCAGGCCTTCGGCTGCTCATAGTGCTCACAGGTTGAGCTCTCCCTTCTAGGCTCAAGTGCAGGCACGCCTTATCCTATCACTACTGGTCAGGCCTTGAAAACACAGATTCCATGTGTTTATGACTGTATACAATGGCTCGCTTTCCCGTGGCCCCCGCATACAGGCTCATGTGCTATGAGTGTCGAATTCGCAGAGAGGTTCATTTTTCGCATGGCCAAGGCGCGGGATACAAATCCACCAGATGCCGATGCTTGCTGAAATAGAAGCATACACGTCTCGCTCCGTTCTCGTCTCTCTGTCGGTACCTTTGTCTCGTGTCTTTCCCGGTTGGTGCTCTCGAAGCCTTAGGCCGTAGCTTCTTCAAGCAGCTCTTGTTTTTCCATACACGGAAGCTTAGGCATTCACTGCTGCTAGAGTACGGTATGCAAGCTGTGAAGGCAGCAGAATGCAAGAATGCTCGCTAGCGGTTTTCGCTTCCCCGCCCTTGGTGCAGCTTACGAAGATGCATTGGATTGAGGAAGCAGAGGAGGAGGTATTGGAGGAGATCGATGTGGATCAGCTTCGACCCCTTCGACTCTAGCCTGACCAATGGGCTAGCTTGGACTTCAGTTTTCGGACGGGGTTCAGATAATTTGTTTCTGTCTACCCTCGGTTCTCGCCATGTGCTTGGCTTCCAAAGCTTGTGAGTGCTTGTCGTCCCCTCCCAATGCCCAGTGCATGAGACGATGATCTCAAGATTAACTGCTTCACAACGTTCCAGGCACGGAGTAATTGCCTGACAGTTGAAGATGACCTGAGGAACGGCACGCACGAGTTCGGATCTGGCTTTGCAGAGTCGGCACTCGAAGTCGAACTTTGTGGCAGAGGAGAAGGTTCAGTTTCTCGGACGCCCCATTATACTACACGCATGCACGAGGCACATATCTGGTGAGTAAATCAAAGGTGCGTGGACATGTCTGTGTGTGTGTGTGTGTGTGTTTGTAGTTAGGTTCGTACGTTTGTCAGCACGCTCTGTGGGCACGAATGATTACGAAAGTATAGATTTCAGTATGTTGGTTTGTGTGTATGCATGCGTGCAGGTATGTATGTGTATATATATATATATATATATATATGTGTGGGTGTGTGTACCTGTGTGTACGCGTGTATGCATGCATGCATGCATGCGCATGTACGCATGCATGTACATGCATGCGCGTGTGTATGTATGTATGTATGTATGTATGTATGTATGTGTATGTATGTGTGTGTATGTA